AGGGGTGGCTCAGCCCGGCTCAGCCTCATTGAGACAATCTGCATAGCCTGGTGCCTCAAGCTATCAAGCTGAATTACAGACAATGGATGAATGTAGTGCATTTTTGGCAACAACGGATGTGAATACATATGCAACATATTAATCAAAGATGAGCATGTAAACCTCACTGCCAGCTGAATTTCACCTGTTTTCTTCACCCCAGATGGATGTAAAACCAGGAGAGGATAGGAATGCGTGTAAACCCTGTCAGCTTCAAGTGTAGATAGCCGAATTCTCACTTTGCCAATTTTTGAATCCTTTCCCCCTTTATCACCTCCATGTATATGACCATTGTCAAAAACCCCCATTGTGATGACAGTACATGGGTCGAAAACCTCCCAGATGTACTGCTCATTCCATTTAGGATTAAAGCTGTCCACAATCGTCCTAGTTCGAACCCATTTCTGCCCATATTTAGCTACACAATAAGCATCTGTGGTTCCTCGGCCATCTTTTGTTTTCATTGGCATCAGTCCCATGGCACTTAAAACTCCTACCTCCAAAATCCCAATGCTTGACTTCCACAACTGCTTTGCTGTTGGCCTAAGATCACTACTGTAGTGTGTTGATTCATCCAAAACATGATATCCACCGTCCAAACAAATCCTTAAATGAATCCTGCTGGCAAATTTGATATCCTTCTTCTGTTCCCCATCTATGATCATATGCTTCTCAAGATTAAACCACCTAGTGTTCACAGGCTTATGGTCTAACCTCCTCTGCACATTCTGTAAAGCAATCACACACTTCCCCAATATTTCATCTTTGCCTGATCCCACTCTATCTTCCACAGTCAGAAACAAAGATTCCTCAAACGGTTCAGCAGCAACAAACATCAAATCTTCATTCCACATTGGATTAATACTTTTACTCTGTGATATTCTAGTCCTCAATACCTGATTTCCATGCATAACCTTCACAAAAACTTCCGGGTACCTACTCTTGTCATTAGGTAGCAAGTCCTGAGCTTCAATAACATTGACCCTCACATACCAAAGCTTGGGGGAGAGGTATACCTTTGATCGAATGTTATTGACACCCTCCGGCCCAACTGTTGCGGCATCTGAATGCCACGCATCTGGAAATGCCTCATCTGCTTGAGTTCCCATCCAAACAGCCAACATCAGCTCTCCCTTGACCTTAACCCCCTTCCTATCCTCCAGCCTATACCATTGTGGTGCCAATGGGCTATCTGGTGGAATGCGTTTTGGGATGTCAACGAGATCAAATAGAACCCTGCCCATGAAATCATCTAGCACAACATCCTTATCTTTCACCACAGCTTCCAAAAACGAAGCTTGAAGTCGATCTTTGGAGAAAGCAAACACCTGATTCCACTCAGGGTTGGACTTCTTCTCAAAATGCCTAGTAACTCCCTTATAGTTTCCAAGTTTCACTTCAACATAGGGATCACAGCTACCAGTAACATCTTTTGCAGGTAAATCCTTTGCTTTGACCACACGAACATAAAGGTATTGCATCTGTTCAACAAGGTCATAGGCGCATGAGAGCTTGTCACCGGTGATTGAGCCCGCGCCAATGTTTGGCGAGGTCTCTTTCAAAGCAAAATCTTGAGGCTGAGGAGGCTTCTGCATTTTTCTAGTTTATGGAATGGCAATAGAAGCTAGGATATCAAAAGCAGAAGCTTTGAAACAAGATATGGTTCTAGAGAGCTGTTATCACTGCAAGTGCAACCTCAACATTTCCAAAACCAAGGCTCAATTCCTTCCTAAAGATGTAGAAGCCTTCTTTGTGAAGATTGAAGAGAAATTATACCCTAAAGATAGAAAGGAGATAACTTTACCAAGAACTTCAAAAGAGAAGGACAAAATAAGGAACCGAATCAAGCATAGTACAATTATACACGATAACAGAGTGGGAAAATGCGTCTGTAAGAGCTTGTTCACAACCTGCAGAATTCAAAGATATCAAAAAATTCAACACGTTACTCTTCCGGAAAGTACCCCCTTTTGGTTTCTATGAGAAGAACGGAGAAAGAGAAAAAATTCAAATGTTACTTCTCTTTCCATTTTTGGGATCACAAAGAAAATGAAAAATAATAATTTCAACTTAGATAAATATATAAAGTCTTTCCCTTTTACAACACATAACCAACATTAAGGTTCATACACATTTTCTGAGCAACCAACCACATTAACTTCAGAGTACTAATCAGAATCAGAGAGAACAAAAAGAAGAAATCATGCATTTGTTGTAGTTTACCGTACGAAAATGAGCAATATATTCACAACTCACAGATCCAGTCCAGAAAACCCATGAAGTCCAAGACAAGAAGTAAGCTCGAAGTTCAAGAAAACTTGTGCATTATAACTTCAACTGCTACTACTCACACTGAAAGACACATGGGTTTTCAACAACTACTCAAAACCAACTTCAAGAAAATCTTTTAAAAAGCGAGCGATGTTCAACTTCACAAGTAAATGGCCAACTTTGACAAAGAAAAAATAAAAAAATAAAACTTTACAAGTAATGCCAACCCCTTTGAGTTGACAAAGAATATGGGAGAGGGAGTTCACACTGACCTCAGGTAAACTACAGTGCTTTCTTCAAGTTCAGGGAGCTGCCATGGAAAATCTAAAAATTAAGGAAAATACAAAAAATGGGAAACCCAGTTTCAGTTTGTAAGAGAAAAAGGCAACTAAAGTGTGAAGTGTGGGGCTGAGTTGAGATCTGTGAAAGACTGAATCTGTGTATAAAGAGCATAGAGAGAGAGAGCCTACTCAGTGCCACCTTTTTCACACTTTGTACACTTTTTTATATGTTTTTAATTCTTATTGTGTTATGCGAGAGCCCGTTGCACTCGTGCGAGGCTTGTGGTCGGTTTTGGCTCATTCGGGGATTGTTGGTCTTGGAATAGTGTTTCTTGGTTTCCTCATCATGTGTTTGGTATAGTTATGAACATTTTAGCGGTGGCGATTTCTTTGTTTTTTTTTCCCTTGTGAAACTGCACGTAATTCTTAAGATCATAATAGGTTAGTAAGAAATTCATTTTTTAGTAGGTTTCTAAATTCTTTGCGATAGAAGGATTGTTGGACTTGCTTCACATACTTGGAGGTTGTGGTACCCTCTGATGGAAGTGTGAATTTATCTGATCATCGATACATTAGAGACCCTATACACATTAATAGTCAAGATGATTCCTTATATTTCAGCGGGAATTAAATGTGGCATTCTTTTGTATTTTATGGGCAAACTTTATTACTTTCATATGGAAATGTATTGTATGAATTGATTGATGAAGACAAAAAGGTTAATGCCACATCTTTTTTTCCAAGGTTGATATGACCTTAAAATAAAAGTCCCAATTTATACCTTGTTAAGTAATATGTTAAAATTCATTTAACCTGGAATAATGGCAGATGAACCTGTAGATAGCAACATAAATTAATAAATAAATAAAAAGTTGAGTCAAATTTATTTTGTTGATAGTGGTATAAGCCATATTAGATTAGAGTGAGGTTGTTCCAAAATCACTGCATCCATACTTCCTATATCACCATTGTATAATGTATGAATATATAGGTAGTCACATTAATTTTCCTAAATTAAAGGTGAGTTGGATTGGTACTATTATACTGAGGTTGGTTGGTGGTAGAAGAAGGTGACTTGAACTAAAGGGTAAACTAAATATAAGGTTGATATGACAGCATTTTTGTTTTTAGTTTGTTCCTTTTCAATTAAAAGAGAGAATTATAGGCAAACGACCCACTATTGTAGTGGTTTCGAATTATAGTATTCGTGTAATGTGTGTGAATTTAGTACGCTATAGTCTTTCTCAATAAGAAACATAACTTTAGAGTAGAAAAATGGGTGAGAAAATAGATTAAATGGATGAAAATTACGTATAATTACATGAATATTGGTGACCACGGAAACGCATGGTCTCCAAATGCTGAAATCTTGAACTCTTAAATGATATATGCATCACTAAATACAAACTATTTAATTTGGCCATGTTCATACCCCAAAATTTCAATTCTTATGATAGGGGTGTGTTTCATGGGGCCAATTTGGAAAGCAAAAGATAACCTCCTACATTAATATATCATCAATGGTATGAGAGAAAAAATTGCAAAACTTAGGCCCACAATGCATTGCTGTAGCAGTTCAGAAAATAATGAGAAATAACTATAATTTGGAATGCGTAAAGAGGACGGAAAAATGTGAGCATGAAGATATTTGAGTTAATAATTGATGGATTATTATATATATAAAAAAAAGGTTTTGGGAAGAAAAGGAAGAAGAAAATTGTTCTTTGAAATTGAAGTTTGAGTCTCATCTTTTATAGGTGTGTTAGGTAGAACCATCAATTTACCAAAATCGTAACAGATGATTCAAAAATTGATGTGACACGAACAGTTGTCATGACTCATGACTCATGACCCATGCAGGCAAATTTTACCAGACATGCAGGACATCAATCACTTTATTTTTATTTTTTATTTTTAAAATTTAAAATTTTCTTTTAATACGATAGGTAACATGACGAAAACCTTGTCGGACAAGGCGGACAAAGAGGTCAAAATAAAAAGGTGTTTACATAAAGGCAAGCCAGACTCCCAAAACCTCGAAGGGAAGAGAGTATGGCCAACAACATCATGCACTTTAGGTTATGCAAAAGCCAAACAAGCCTTACAGCCTCTTAGCCAATGGGGCAAGAAGGCATTTTACTCGAACTGAAAGCATTGCCATTATTTAACAATTTTGTAGCAGAAGGCAGAAGAAAGATTTCTGCTTTCAAGAAACAAGTCTTGTTGAGCAGCCTGGCAGTGGCAGGACAATGGTTTAGAAGAGCTTAGAGGCTCCTTAAGCATTGTATAGATTAGCCAGAGTGGCACTTTTCAAAGGATTCCATACAGATTAGTGAAGGTGAAAATGTCTGATTTTCCTTAATTACCGCCAAAGAGAATAGTCACAGTGAAGATGGACACACAAAAAAATCATACAAATCAGTAAAATTCTATTGATGAATATGTAGTTACAGAAGCAACACGCTCCTCCTTTACAATCCGTAGAGAGGCAATGACCAACTTTAAAAAAATCATACAGTTGATGAATATTATTACATAAACTACATTCCTCCTTTTATTTCAACTTAAACAATTTCTCTGTAAAAAATTGAACTGATAAAACATCTCAATCATACTGCCAGCTGCTACAACCGGGGGTGCAGGTGGGGGGAAGAGAGGGGCAGAGATCTCATCCTTCAGTGAAAGTTTTTCACATCAACTGGTACCCCCTGCTTTCCTCCAGATTCAAGCATTGCCTCTAGAACAGCAACATCTCTGGCACCTTCCAAGAAAGACATGCGAGGCTCAGCTTCATAGCCAGTCCCCTTCTGCAAAGACCAACATGGGGTTGGGGATGTGGGAGTCAAAACTAAAATCCGACACAGTAGAGACCATAAGAGTTAAAAACCAATCACATAAATTGCATGACGATTGACATCTGAAATTACCCTTAGATTGGCCTGTGATATGTCATTAATAAAAGCTTTGAATTTTTCATCCACTCCGCTAAATTGGTGGAAGGAGCTTTTGCTTTGTCCATCAGAACCATAAAATAAAACCTGCCACAGTATCATAAGCGATCAAGAGCTTGTCAATTTATTACAAGGTGATTTAAATACAATTCGAGATGGAAAAAGGAAAAAGAACCCCAAATCTCATCACATTCTGATGTCCAGCATCATAGAATTAAATACACTGTAGGATGATTTTCAACATACCAGGTAGCCATGCCGTCCATCTTGGTTTCCACGCTCAATTTGCAGCGTTCCCTTCAAGCCAACAAATCGCCAAACTATCTGATGGTATAAGACAAAATGAGAAAAATAAAAGTTTATGCATATTCAGAATTATAATGTGAAATTAATTTTTACCACATGCCTTGGGTGATCTTGAGGAGACTACCATCACAAAAACCCCTGAACATCCATTCTCCAGTTGACTAAGGAGAGGAAATCCAATAGGTCACATTTAGAATCTTTCTTGTGCAATAAGAAAAAAAAAACAGATTCTGCAAATTTAACTATATCCAATAGTAACTTACAAGAGAGAGGATATGTTATCTGGTGCAGGTAAGGTCTTGTCAACATGAGAGGTTATAGCTGACACAGATACTAGCTCACATCCAGCAAGCTGTTGCAATGAACAGGATATATTGAGATTCACGCCTTGATGAAAATATCATAACACAGAGAGGTGAACTTACTTGACCATGCTTTATGCATTTACAGGCCAACCCCATAACCACTTTACCTATAGGCCCAGAAACACCTATCTGTTTCGTAACACATATGCATCTACTGAGAACTTCCCAATTCCATGAGAGTCCCAGAATGTAGTTACTCTAGATTCATTATGTCTTTGCATTTAAAGCCAGAAAGGGTTCACAGTTTTACAACCTTCTTCAGTTTGTCAACAAAAGTTTTAGAACTCAAGATTCTCTTAAAAAAAAAGGTCACGGTCTTGAAATATATGCAATAATGGAAACATGCACATACAGGAACGCCACTAAATACAAATATTTATGAGACTACTGCAATATAGAGTTCAGTCATACAATAAAAGGAGGTTAAGAGAAAATCTACAGAGAAAGTGGTATTAAAAAAGACTTCATCATAAGTACAACTAGAATGATAAATTCAGCAGATAAAACTTCAAATTCCATGCTTGGATAAGCGGCAGAAAATTCTTTCAAAGAAACCAAAGTCATAGTTTACAGTCATTTTTTGATGAGAATGTGACATTACCATCCTCAGTCCAGCGACGAAATGTACTCCCATGTCCAGAATGAAACCTCCCTGCCATAAAGGAGACAATCTTGTGGATAAAGGAAACCAAAGTAGCGTGGGAAGACATTTATTTATCTTTATTACAAGGGAGCTGATTTTCCCACTCCTCTTTTATCCACTTACACTCCCTTTGTTAGAAATTGTATGTTCCCACTCCTCTTTTGTCCATTTACACTCCCTTTTTTGTTATAGTAAAAACTATTAAAAAACAAAAGGGAGTGTAAGTGGACAAAAGGGGAGTGGGAAAATCACCACCCTATTACAATTAATCTTATAAAAATCAAATATAACATTAGAAGTAGAGATTTTTACTTCAAACGCGTAAATAGGTAGTAGATTGTATAGAGTCAACAAGACACAACTATTAAGCATGCTAATAAACACGACTTGTTTATACTTGTATTAATCAGATTAACAAGGTTGTGACATGAACAGGGCCGTGCCTAACATCGCCATTTTCATAGTTGTGTTATCATATTGTATCAGAAATTTCCACCCCTAGGCAGGATCATTACATTGAGAAGTAGCTTTCACTAAGATGATTATATATATATATATATATATGTACATATTTGATGGTAATTACTAATGAATGGGGGAGAAAATGGGAAGCACATACGGTAAAATTGCGCCTCCAGGAGCTTGAGAAGTAAGGGTTCGAACTGTTCATTGATCCTTCAACAATAACTTGGATGCTCATCACATCTCCAATATCATTCACTAGTTTCTTGCCCTGTAAAAGTGACAATGAGGGTCTTTTAAGTCAAAAAAGTAAAAATAATTTAACAATATCAATATACTAGTACCTCAACGAAAGCAGGTTCGAATCTATAATTTTCTGCTACGGCCCAAATTGGTTTATTAGGGATATTGGCAAAAATTGACCTATAACTTGACAGTGCAGTTTCCAATTCGCTTGTAGCTGCATTATTAAATCAGCAATTTAGAATTTTGAACTTTTGAACTCAAACAATCATATACTATCTCACATTTGAGGCAACTTATATATATAATTGTAATCCAAGTAATGACAGGAGAAAATAATTGAAAGATTTGTGGTGAAAAAATATATTAATAAGTAATAAAAAAGGACATCATAAGAATCAGTGCAAAAGTGGTCATGACTGTGTAAGATGGAAGCAGAGGACATCACAAAATAGAACCTATTTGAAGAAACCCTCCGCTTCAACTGGTATTTTTTCACGAAAAGCAAACAGGAGATAACAAATCCAGTCTTTCACTAAGATTTCGAATAGATGAGTTTATATCAAGTTAATATTATTCTCATATGATTTTGATAACCAACATGAATTAATTGGGCAGAGATTGAGATCCATGTTACGTAATTCCTCCTGCTTAGAGGTTACCTGCTAATCTAGTCCCATTCAATGCTAGGCTTTAGTGGAGAAAGAGGACCCTATATTCTTTTCATATTTTTTGCATCTCCATGGTGTTTTCTGTTTTGTTTTTATGCATATATCCTTATTTTGTCTACCATTGTTTCTAATACTAACATAGAAGCATTGTTGTGGTGTATGTTAGAGGTGATGGTCAAAGAAGAAAGGAATTGGAAGAATAGTGAATAGGAGGCACAATCCGACAGTGGTTTTGTTTCTTATTTTCTTCCCTACAGGCTGCAACACATTATAAGAAAATTTGGATGTGGTAGAAACCATAAGTTATATACCATCTAAAGAGTTGTACAAATCAACTTCAACTTTGGTGCAGTTGTATCATAAGTGAAGATTTGGTAGCCAATAAACAGACTAATAAGCAGCAGAATCTTCAACTCAAAATGTCATATAATAAATTAAAAAGGCAACATAAAACACATTAAGTTAAATCGAAATTGCATCCTACTTACAAGCTGCCGCAGGTTTCTCTTTGAGCCCACCAAGCCAGCCAAACAATAGTGAATAGAGACAGTAGACACAAACAAAGGGAAAGTCTTAGTCCATTGTACTGTATAGATTGAACTATCATTGCATCATAATATTTAGACATTCAGTAAAATAGAAAACAATGCACCACCCTGGCAGTTGATGGGGGGTGGAGGGAGATGGAGTTTCAAATCCTCACATAACTATCAATTAGTAGAAACTAGAACTAACCTTGAAGGACATGCTTCCCTGCCTTGAGCAGCCTCAATGAGAAATCAACCTGCTCGAGTTATTATTAAAACTAACAGACTTTTAGTCAATCCAACTATATAAAGCATTCCTGTAATTCTAGTCATCTAACAAAGATCCTCATTCCTCATTAATGCACATTACCAAAAAGGTAAAATTTGGTCTAACAAGCTTTAGTTTTTTTTTTCTTTTATTAACAAAAAGAAGCAAGCTTTTTTTTTTTTTTTTTGAGAGAAAGAAGCAAAGCTTTATTCTTTCTTTATACCTGAGCTTGGCCAGCTAAAACCACTGCAACACCAAGAATTGAACTATCTTCAATAATTTCTTGAAGACCCTTATCACCCCATTTGCATTCTACCCCTGGAAAATGTTTTTGAGCAATCTCAACGGCACCTCTAGCAGATTCCTAGAATCAAACCCAAAAAAAGAAAGAAAAAAGATTAAATCTTTTAATTCAACGATAAAAAGGAAGACGAAAAAATTGAAGTACCTCTGTACGGCTCCAAATGGATTTAAGAAGGAGGAGCTCAGAGATCTCAGCGAGCCTAGGAATGTATTGGGTCCTCATAAAGGTACCAGCTCCAAGAATGGCAATCTGGGGTGCCTCTCCCATTTTGAAGAGCCTAACTGCACTTCTTGCTTTACTTGTTGCAAATCTAGCAACTGGGATTTTGAGTCTTCCAAATTTGCAATGGATCTTTGCTTTATCTCCGTTAGTTATATGCTAAGAAGCACGGACACGGATACGGATACGAGGATACCATACGACACAATACGGGAATACGGGCAAATCTCCAAAAATTAAGATAAGATACGTCATGAATACGGCAATTAAAAATTTATATTAAAATATAATAATAACAATATATATAATTTAAAACATATTTTAATTAACATCAAAATTCAAATTCATATACCAAACTCAAATTTTAATAATGAATTGCTTTTTTTTATATTTTTTTATTTTAATAAAGACTTGCTTTTAATAAGTTGAAAGTTTATTGAAAGTTTATTGAAAGTTGAAATCGTCAATAAACAAAAGCCAAGGATAAAATCTGGACCAAAACAAAAAAAGACAAAACAAAACATAAGACAAACCACAGTGAAAAGTTGAAAACAAAGAGAAGCTCAGAAACAAACAGAGAAGAACATACCCAGGCCGACGATGAAGAGAAATCAGAAGAAAATTCAAGAACACCACAGCAACCACCACACCAGAAGATTCAAGAAGAAGAAAAGAAGATCTGACTATGGTGGTGCTGTGCTGGGCTTTGTTATTTATATAGAAGAAGAGGAAGATTTGATTCCGAAAAAGAAGAAGATCTGATTCCCAAAACTGGTAGGAAAGGACAATTCGTATACTTGAAGACTTCCAATTTTTGCCGAATGTTAATTCTCTCTTAAAACGTATCCTTAAATCGTATCTGTAATGTCAGATACGCGTATCTGTTTGTCGTTGATCGTATCCCTTGACTCGGATACATATCCATCACGTATCCGTACGTGTCCACTGCATATCGTATCCCGCAGCATATCAGACACGGGATACATACCTTAACTGCCGTATCCGTGCTTCTTAGGTTATATGCTTATAAATTGGAAATTCTGCGATACAGTGAAAGATGGTGACAGAGTGAGAGCAGTGGGGCATAGGTTTTTATTTTGATGGCTTTTTATTATTATTATTTTTTATCAATGCAGCGACGGAGGGAAGTCTGTTGGACCCTTTTTCTTTCCGACCAAAAAAAAGAAAAGACCATTTTTTTTCTTTTTGGGGCGTGAAGCCCAAACAAACAAAAAGGCAAGCGAGTTGAGAGGGCTATTACAAACAGTTTCTGGCCTTGTAGCCCAACTCATTTGTAGAGGTCCTGTTCGTGTCGAAAGGCTATTAACTCATTTGTAATCGTTTTCCTTTTGTTTTTGGTCGAAAGGGAAACTTCATTGAAGGGAAAACAACCCAAAGGGAATAGAAACATGGAATGAAAAGGATAGCAGCCTAGGGGACAGACCCGCCCAGGAGCAAGCAGGAAAAAAACCACAGAGACAGGCTAGAGAAAAAGAAAGCAGAAAATAACAGAAACTAGAGGGCCACAAACTAGGACGTCACCAAAGGAGCATGTCAAGCCAAACCTTATCGCACTTGGTCCTCCTAGCAATAGCCGCAACGGCCCTATTGGCTCGGCGAGAGATCCATTTATAATCATAGGTTGTTGGGATTCATCCATTTATAATCATATCGTGTTTGTGTAACATTCCTTTATTTCATAACCAAACCTCTGATTTATCTAATATTATACAATGAAAAATGACTTAATCATAAAAAGATACAAACTTATATTATACAATAATTCATATAATACAAACATCGTTAAAAAAAAACTATAAAAGAAACGGAGATGAATTGTATTTTTCATATGACACTAGCTAAAATGTGTTTGTTGTGCCGCAATTTAGTTATTCATGTTGACACTAACCTACCCATGTATCGTTTTCAAGTTGTATTGTTGCGTCGTGTGCGAGAGTGAGATTGCCACCCATGCTAATGGCACATGTGGTGCCAGTCGGAAGAACAATGACATGCAGTCTCTTAGAGAGTACGATTCTATTCCATGAAGTACCAATGAGAAAACTTAAGACCTAAACTTTTATTGCAATTGTGAAATCTTGAATGTCCGGGTAGATGAAATGAGTAAAATCTTGAAGGTAAACAGAAGCAACAATGGCAATTGCAATTAATGAAGAATGAAACTAAGCTTGAGAAGTAGATCAAAAGATGCCTTATGAATTGTTAGATTTAAAGAACATATTTTGAAACAAACTTGGAATAATTTGAATCAAACAGCAACATCAAGATTTTCCATACACAGCTGCAGTGCGACATGACTTAGAAGATCTTTAATATCCTCCAACAAATTCCTAGCAGAAGAGCCGAAAGACAAATGCAGGACTATGCAAGTCCATAAAGTTATCTTCTGCAGCTTCTAACGACTGTATAAATATGCCTTCTCTGGGTTCCTCACTCACTCCGCTATGTGTAGCATACTCCAATGCCATTTCATAGTCCACCTACAAAATTTGATCACAAGGTTAGTACATGCCTAATCTTGTTATGTGGATGCCTACCTCCCACCTAAAGTATATAAATAAACAGAACGAGCAGAAAAAAAACTTGTTATAGAGAGACACATATCAAGTCACTTAGGCATCATCTCACCTGCTCAACATGTTGTAGAAGCTTTTCCCTGAGCATTTCTTTTGTAATTGCACCAGCTGATATTTCCTCATATAATTCCCGGAGCGTTTCTTTTCTAACTGTACTATGTGTTAATATTTCCTTATGCATTTCTGCATCCTTATCCTCATAACGTTGTTTCTTTGATGCCTGTGATTTTTCCATTGCCTCCAACACATTATATGCAGCAGTAGCAGCATTATCGGCATACCTGCAAATTGACAGTTAGATTGTTTCAATTCGTGCAGAAGGGGAAAATGAGCATTCATGAAAAAACAGGAATAGAGGCCAAATGACTGATTTGTTTTACATGCTCAAACTTCGCTTTCTCTCCTGCTGTTCACGAGCTTGGATTTTCTTCACTATCTTGGTTTTTAGCTGGATGCAACACTGTTGAATGGCAGACTGTAGAGGTATTGTTGTTAAATAATTTGGTTTTATATATATACCGGAATGAAGATAAACATTATAATAAAGCCACCTACCTTGACAGCTGAAGCTATTTCAGTTATATCATCTCCAATATACTCCTTCCCGGTTCCTTTAAAGGGTATTTTGGTGCTTACAATGCTCACAAAGACACCAATTTTATCCTGAGTTTGGTTGATCTTGTAACCACTCCAACTGAAAGAATATAGTCACATTGTCTTAGTGAAGTTTCAAGCTAGCATCTGTGGTATTTTTTATCACCAAAAAGCCCCTCTTCTTCTCCACGCAGTCTCAACAAAAAAGATAAAAACTACAAAGTACAATGAGAAATTTCTCTATGACTCACTTGATTCTCTTAAGAGCGGTCCTGGTGACAACATCAGCACCTTGCTCGAAAAGAAGTGGAATTCGGTTTGCAAATCGGAAAATATTCAAACCCTAAATTATAAACCGGAAAGCTTCATGAATGTTGTCATTGGATTAATAGCTAAAGAAACTGAAACTTAAAGTCTAACATACAATTTGTAGTACTCAAGTAGTAATCAGGTAAAATTGCATCTTAGAGAAAACAAAAGCGATAAAAACAAAATTCCATTTTTCAATTTGTTAATTCCTAAGTCTATATTGACTGTCAAAATTAATAAAGAATCACCTACTTGCTTGACATCTTTTCCACCCACGCTGACACCAGCTTCCACAATGAATGGGTGGCCTTCAAAAACTCGAGCACTGTAGTATATGAAGTATAGAATCGACATTTAGGTACAAAGTCAATAAATCAGCAGATAACAAATAATAAACTCATTACAAATTAATAGCAGTAAGCTTTGTACAATAACTCTTAGAAAAGAAACATGAAATAGAAAATTTAGAAATAGGCTTATTTACTGTAGTACCCCCTGAAACTTCGGTCAAATCTCACTTTACCCCCCCAAAGTTAAAATGGCCCACTTAACCCCCTTGACCGTGGTTTCGTGTTCCACTTTACCCCCTACTGTTATCTCCGTTAATAACTCTGTCAGTTTTGATGACGTGGCATGGCTATTTTAGACTTTTTACAACAAGTGATGATGTGTCATATAAAGGGCCCACTTTTTTTGCTTAAGTGGAATAAAATATATTATATAATAATATAATTACTTGTTTAGTTAAAAAATATATAAAAATTGAAAAAATTAATACATAAAAATCTTCTTCTCCATCTCTCTCCCTTGAACTCTCCCTCCCCTAACTTCATAACCCAAAGCCACCCTCACCATCACATGGTCGAGACTGACTTTCCACCATCGCCACCGCCGAAACAACAACGCCTCCAAACGACGCCGGCAAAACCTAAAGAGTTGTGCCGACGAGGATCTGTTTGGTTTTGGAGTTCTGAGGGTCTATTTGGTCGAAGAGGGTCTATTACAATCTGTTTTATGTCACTACTACTTAAATAACAAAATTAAATTAAAAAGAAAAAAACCAACCAACAGAAAATAATCAAAGCTCCAACCTCTCCACGCACCCCCAGCCACCTCCTCACCCATCCACAGCCCGATCCCTCTACCAGCCACCTCCTCGCCGATTAGCCCAGACAATGGGCAAGTATTCTGTCATTAACCCCAACAAGGGCTTTCCTATACTTGATCTCAGTGGAGAAGTTCTCTTTATTCAAAAACCCTTGGGATGACTCGTTGTAGAGAAAATAGGGTCTGGGTGTTGCCCAAATAGTGAAGAAATTGGGTTTGGGTTTCGAGTTGGACCGATTGGGTCTGGGCGCAGGGGAGGCTTTCTTCTTCCTTCATTCTTGGAAGTGGTTGTTTTGTTTGCCTTGCTTCTTGGCTGGTGTGGCGACGGTGATGGTGGCGAGAGAGAGGTCTGAAGTTGGGTTGGTGGGGTGGATATGGCTGGGGTAGGTGGGTTAAGGGGTTAGTGTGGCTGAGGAGGGGGATGGGTGTGGGTGGGATCTGGGTAGAGGATTGGAGTAAGTTAATGGTTTTCGAGGAAAAATTTCATTCTCTATATGCCAACTCAGGGAGCTCTAGTACCTTGATCTTCAAAACAATTCCTTAAATTTTTCAATCCTCTATGATGGATATGGTGATTTAGATGGTAGGTTTGATGTTTGGGTATGTGGGTATGGTGGTGCTAGTGGTTTATACGGTGGTTGCTGGGGAAGAGAGAAAGATGGAGAAGAAGAGAATTTTTTGATATTAATTTTTCAATTTTTTAATTAAATAAGTATTTAAAATAATAATTTAATTTTAATTAATATTTTTTTTCCATACTAATACTTTAATTTTTAAAATTTTTGTTTCTTTTTTCTTTTGGATTTTTGAATTTTTATTGTTGTATCTTTTACCATAATGACCCTGCCACGTCAGCTTTTTTGACGGTCTTTTGGATGGCGTTAACGGTGGGGGGGAAGTGGGACACAAAACCACGGTCAAGGGGGGTAAGTGGGTCATTTTAACTTTGGGGGGGTAAAGTGAGATTTGACCGAAGTTTCAGGGGGTGCTACAGTAAATAAGCCTTTAGAATTATAACAACCTTCCAGAATAAGTCGCGACCATGTCTGGATGCAGCTCCTTTATAATTCCCAGACGAAGATTGTACTCCCCTGCAGGACTCAGACACTGAAAACAGTGACTAAGTAATGGGCCAAACCACATAGCCAAGACTATATAGGAATTATTTGCTGACTGAATGTAATAATGAACAAAGACAAAAAATGCTTACATCACCACTAGGATCATCAAATTTAGCTTGACGAAATAACTGATGGATGCGAACAATTTGCTGAGAAGTTATAGATTTAATAGGCATCTTTGGACTGAACTCAGGACCCAATTCCCCTGAAAAAAAGGAAGAAACATCAACTTAAGCATCTAAGGAGTAGCCCCACAAATCCCAGATGTTTG